AGACACTCCGCTCGAGCGCCGTTTTTTGAGAGCTTCAGCTAGACGCCGGTTTCTAGCCATGTCGTCATCTTGCCCGCCGGTTCAGAGGAAGGCCCCGCCGGTCGTGCCGCCACAGTACAAGGCCCCACCACCGCCGCTGCCGGAGGCGGAACTGCAGGGGCTGCCACTCGCCGTGGCCAATCTGCGCTGCGTCTTGGAAGCAGCTCACGCCGGTGGGTGGGTGGCCTGGCGCGACCTGGCGGCGGCGATGACGGTGGATGACAGGGTGGCGCTGGCGGAGTTCTCATCGGCGCTCATGGTGGTGCCGCCGGCCAACATGCCGAGCGACGCCGCCTTGAAGGAGAAGATGAAACGCCGGTTGCCGGCTACCGCGGCCACCGCCGGAGAAGTACCAGCCGCCGGCCCGTGTACTACCACGACGCCCAGGACACCCTCGAGGACCCGGACGCCGGCATCTTCTTCTACCACCATGGGGGCGCCGCCGTCGGCCTGGTCGGGTGGATTGTCCTGGCAGCCGCCGGCAGCACAGCCTACCCATGACGACGGGGTGTCGGGGAGTGTCTTCCTGGACGCCCCGCCGCCGGATCGGACACAGAGGACTGGCGCCGCCGTCTTCCTCCAGACCGCCGCCAGTACACCAGCGAGCACTACGCCGGGTGATGGCACACCATGGGGCCTCACGCCGGAAATGGTTCGCCAGGGCATCGCTCGGATGGAGGCAGAGTCCGCCGCTATCTCCGCGGCGCAGACGCCGGGGGTGACGATCCAGATTGACTCCGAGGGACGCCGGCATCGGGCAGCACCACCAGGCGCCGAGCAGAGGCCGACCCGCCCATCCTCGCCGCCCTCGAGATCTACAGCCAACCTCGCCTTCACGCCGGGCTCTGTGGCGGGGACGTCCGTGAACACCGACGAGGTATTGAATGAGGCGGCGATTCGCCTGGCGATGTCTAACCAGAACAACGCCGGCCCTGGATTTGATCCTCAGTCGCCGGTGCCGGAACAGCGCAGACCGATCTTCCCGCCGATCCGGGACACGGGGAACGCCGAGGAGGCACGCCGGGGCAGGGCCGAGCGCAGAGGAGGTGAGCGGCCGGCAACCGCCGATGATCCCCCTCCCCCTGCGCCGGTCCAGGACTACCCGCCGCTGACGGCCAGCCCGGTGACATGGGTGCCAGCACCGCCGGTCATGGGACCCCTGCCGCCCGAGAGGACCACGCCGGCACAGGCCACCAGCTCTACCACGGCGCCGCCCAGGACTACTACACCAAGGCGCCGGTCGGCGGATCGCGGAGATAGGCGCACGCCGGACAGAGTGGCATCTCTCTCGCCGGGCCCGACCCACCGATCTGGAACTGTGGGCATCCGCTCCAAGCTGTCCGACGCCGAGGTGGCCGAGATTCGCCGCAACCTCACGCCGGAGTACAGTCGCTACAAGGACCGGATGCATCGCCGCGGCGCGGCCGCCGAAGACGACGTGCCACAGTCCATTCGGCACCTCGCCCGCCCGACGGTGGAGGATGTGATCCAGACGGAGGCGGCGGCGGACGCCGGTGACCAGTCCGCCGTGCCGAAGATACCGCCGGTATCAGCTCCCACCTTCTGTGGGTACTGGTTCTGCCGCCGCCTGCCTGAGGGCTATCTTGGCGCCAGGATCCCTTGGGAGGCGCAGAAAGACCGCCGCAGGGTCGCCGGATGGTGCACACATCCCTGCACGGCGGCGGGGTGTCAGTTTGTCGCCGAATGCCGCAAGCTCACCTCCGCCGGGGTCGGTCGATGCCTGAGGCCCGTTATCATAGATAACGGCGCCGATCACTTTGATCACCAATGCGCCGTGTGCGCCAGCCTTAAGTCACCATGGGACTGATCGCCGAGGCGGGGGCGACATACGCCGGAGCCGGCAGCCGAGCTGATCTGTGAAGACATCGCCGGACTCCAGGCCAACGCCGCTAAGGCACTTTTGCGACGAATGTCGCCGACTAGTCTCTTCCGACGGCAGTGTTTTGCGACCTGTGTCGCCGTTTGCCGCCTTCCCGAGCACACGCCGCATGGCGCCAAAAGGACCTTTCTTCAGTCTCGTGTTTCGCGCCTTGTGTCGCCGTCGGTTGCTCTCTCTTCGCCGGTCGTCGCCGTTGCTGTCTTTGCCCTGGTGTTCCGCAGCCGTCTCTGCTCGGGCTCGAGGTACCCCCCCGCCGACGACGCGACGCCCAGGCGGATATGGCACTGGTGCCGGTGACGACGACGGTCGGCTCGACCTTTGGGGAATTTCTCAAAGTGGTCGCCGACGCCGGGGGCACGGCGCATCTCGCTACCTTTGCCCGGCTGGGAGTGACCAACTCGCCGGCGGTTCGAGATTCCTTCCCAGTGCTGCTTGCTCACGGCGTGCCCGAGGCGGTTCTGCTGGCGATCTTGGCGCCGGTGCCGCCGCAGCCGCCGGTGCCGTCGCTATCGCAGATGAGATCAGATGTGCCGGAACGCCGGTCCTCCACTCGGGCCTCTATGGCCGCGGCACTCGAGGCCATGGACCCGAGCCGCCGGGCCGAGACTATGGCGGCGATAGACTCCAACCTGCTGGCGCAATCGACACGCCGATCCATGGAGTCGAGAGTCAGGATGCTCAACTCGCTCGCCGAGAAGGGGGACTTCCAGCTGTTCCCCCTCGACGCACAGAAGCTGCAGCTCCTCGCCGGCGCTCTCCGCATAGGCGGATACCGCTCGGCGGGGCTATATCTTGACGCCGCCCTGTGGCACTGTGGCACCAGGAACACCGACTGCGCTCGCCGGTGTCGGCTGATCTTCGCCGTGCAGCTCGGTCGATCACCAAGGCGGCCCTACGCGGCTTGCCGGGATCCAGGCTGAAGCAGGCGTTTGACCTCGCCGACCTGGCCACACTCGTGGAGCACGACGCGGTCGCCGGCAGCCTCGACATGGACATCCTTCCCCACGCCGTCGACGTGGTGGTGGTGTCGACGTGGTTCATGCTCCGCGAAATAGAGATCGCCGGGGCGAGGGTCAAGGACATCGAGATCACCACGGCGACTGTCTCCTTAGATATACCACTCCACAAGACGGCGCAAGGCGGCCAGTTGGAACTCACCCGCCGATCCTTCCGGTGCGTGTGCACCACGGCTCGGCAGCCGCTTTGCCCCAGATGCGCCGCCGACAGACATTTTCGCCGCCTCGCTCGGTCCGAGCCGGGGGCATATCTCTTCCCGGGCGCCGGCGGGCAGCAGAGAACTAAGCTGGAGACCGCCGGGCTCTTCAACATGGTCCTGTCCGCCGCGGGTTGGCAGACGATCTACACCGACGGCGCCGGACACAAGAGGTTTGTGTTTGGTGGACACGCCGCCAGAGTCGCCGGGGCGACCTTCTTGGCATTACGTGGCGTCCCCGTCGCGATCATCCAGTTGATCGGGCGGTGGTCCAGCACCGCCGTGGAAAGATACACCCAACAGGCGCCGTTGGCAGTGGCGCCGGGCATCCCGGCTCAGGCGTTGGCGGCGGGGGGCACACAGGCTCAGGCCGTACTGGGCACCTCGCCGGCCTGTCTCGGGCAGACACAGTGGGCGGCGGCGATTTGTGACGCCCCGCAGGCAGCACAGCAGGACCAGACGGCCACGCCGGGACCAGCGGCCGAGCCAGATGGACAGACTGAGGCACCCGACGGCGCCGGTGTTCTCGCCGCTCCGGGCGTGCCGGCTGTGGATTTCTCCGCCGAGCTCCCAGCCATCGACTTTGTGCCGGCGCCGGTGTCGGCAGAGAAGGCCTTGATACCGGCGGCCACGGCGACCCACTACATCATGAACTGCCGCACCCGCCTGCTGCACAAGCCCGCCGCGGAGGAGGCAGAGACGGAGCGAGCCGAGTGGCAGGCACGATGCGGATGGCCATACGGCGTGCGCCAGTTCTACAGGCTGCACGACCTGCCGCCGAATCCATCGATGTGCCGCCGGTGCTTCCCGGACACACCGGTCGACTTGGAGGCGCCGGAAGCCGTGTCATCATCCGACAGCTCCTCCTCCACAAGCGGCGCCACGTCGGACTCGGATTGAGAGACGCCGGCCTTGATCGACCGGACACCGATGCCGGGATCGCCGGACCCGGCCAGTTTTGATAGACACCCAACACGGCGACAGCGCCGACATCAGTAGAAGGTGACCCAAAAGAACCGACGACGACGCTGACGCCGGTGTCAGTCACTTGCTTTAGGAATCGGCGTGGTTCGCGCCCGCCGACCTTGTGTCTCCGTAGCTTGCCGGTTTAAGCTTTCAGACCTCTTGCAGCCATGGCCGCCGCACCGACGGTGGCGTCGCAGATGGTGCCGCTGGGCGAGCTCTTCAACACAGCGGGGGCCGGCGACGGCATCCGGCAGTACCTCGCCGCCAAGAAGATATCCACCACCCCGACGCTCGCCTTGATCGCCAAGAACGCCGAGGACTTCACGACGATGATCGTGGCGCCTTTCCTCGCCGGAGTGACCATAGACGGCCAGGACCACAAGGCGGAGGCGGGCGATGAGCCGGTGGCGACCGCCATCATGATTCACTTGTTTGTGGAAGCTCGCCGCCAGTGGGATATCTTTTCTCAGGCGCCGACAGCTCCACAACCACAGGCGGCGGCGACCACGGCGGCACAGACAGCAGCCGGGAACACGCCGACCGCAGCAGCGACGGCGGCACACATCCCCGACCGCCCGCCGAAGACCTTCGCCGCTTGGACCCAGCAGGTGACGGCGTATGAGGAGAAGCTGTTCGACGGGAAGCGCCGCACCTTCCCTGTCCAGGAGCTCCTCGGCGCCGAGGAGGTGTTGGCGCGGATGTGGTTCGAACACACCGTGACCAAAATGTATACGCCGGTCACCCTCGGCGAAATCCTATGCCGCCGCACTTGGACGCCCGGCAGGATGCTCAACCCCTTGGCCGCCGACAGGGCGGCGAAATCCGCCGGTTCCAAGGCCTTGCGGCTGGAGCACGGCGCCTTGGTGCCCGAGGAGCCCTCCGAGTGGTCGCCGCGGGGCCTCCTCTCGACGATCGACGGAGCCAACGCCGCCAGGTGGGCATGGATTCTCTTGGGGATCGGAGAGGAGGCCGACGTGATCAAGTACGCCGACTGGTTTGTGGCCAAAGCCAGGGCGCACGCCGACATGGTTCCGGCGATCCAGGCCTTCTGGCACAAATCGGCGTGGACCATCGCCATGGCGCTGCGGAACAGCACCTCCTTTGGCGAGGCGGTGAAGGGCGTCATGAACGACGTGGCGACCTGGCAGGAGATCATCATCGCCAACGCCGCGCCTCCTAGACGACCGCCGGCCTTGCCACTCGCCGACCCAAACGCCGCCACCGAGGATTACGACGACCATGGCGCTGACCCCTGGGGGGGCGGCAACCGCCGCAAACGCCGTCGACCAGGCAAGCCCAAAGGCAAAGGCCGCGACGGCAAGGACCAGGACCCCCCCAAGAAGACGGACGCCGCCAACCAGCAGGACCAGGGATGGTGGTCGACGAGAGGCGGCGGGAAGCAGCAGAACCAGCAGCAGACCTGGTGGGGCCACGCCGGCGCGGACCAGAGGCATCAGAATACCGACGGCGGTGACAGACCGTGGCGGCGCCCCGGCGCCGGAAAGGGCGGAGGCCGCTGCTAGGGACAGCACGGGGCCTCGGATTCGAGCACCGCTCACGCCGAGGTACCCGACCGGTCGCCGAAGAAAATTCGACTCTCTGCTCGAGTTCCGCCCGGCGCCGAGGTCATTGTGCTTTCGGCCTTTGACGGCGTCGGAGCCGCGCCGTGGCTGGTGTGGGATCTTATCGGCGAGCCTCGGGCCATCTTCTCCTGGGAGGTGGACCGCGCGGCGATCCAGGTCGCCGACTACCACATACCCGGGATCAGGCACCGCGGCGACATCACTGAGGACACGCCGGAGGACCTCGCCGCCGAGATTCAGCACATCGACGGACAGGCCGAGTGCATCATCATCTTCACCGCGGCGCCGCCGTGCCAAGACTTCTCACGGGTTGGCGACCGTGACGGGCACGCCGGGAACAGGGGCTACCTTTTCAACTTCACGGCGGAGTTCCTCGACGAGCTGCGTCGTCGGCTGGCGCCACGCAGGTTCGGGTTCCTGGTGGAGAATGTCGAGATGACGCCGGCCGACGCGGCAGAAGCATCCAAGCAGCTCGGTTGCCAGCCGGTCTTCGCCGACGCCGCGGACTTCGGGTGGATTGGCCGGCCTCGGCTCTGGTGGTCGTCGGTCGACTGGGACGAGATCACCCGCGACCCCTCCACGGCGGAACGTTGGACTTGGGTGCTGCATCGCCGCTGGGATCGCCTTCGACTAGACTTGCCGAGGGCAGCACCGGACAGCTTCGACCTCGACGGCCTCAAGTTCTCCGACGCCGTGGCCTCTGGACGCATTCGACTGCCGTGCTCTACTACGCCGGCGGCCGATGAGAGAGGGAGACCACCGCCGAGATCCATGCGAGGCAAGGTCACGACGGAGGTTCAGCAGAGATGGCTCCAGGACAGCCGACAGTTCGCGCCGTGGCACTACCAGCGCGACGCCATGCTCGCCGATGACCAAGGGAAGCTGGTAGTGTTGACGCCGAGCGCCAAGGAACAGCTCCACCACATGCCGAAGAACTTCACGGCGGCGACGGCACAGGGCGAACTTGAACCCAGGACCCGCCATCGCCTGCTGGGAAACGGCTGGCACTGGGGCGTCGCACGCCGCCTTCTTCTGGCGGTCTTGGTTCATGCGGCAGCGTCGCTCCCAACGGCGGCGGCGATACCAACGGCACCGCCGACCTCGACTATCCAGTGGGTCGCCGCTCTTTGGGGGCCAGCCGGCCCGCCTATGGGCCCAGCGCCGGCCAAGCCTACCATGGCGGCGCTTCAAGAGCTCGACGAGGAGGCACATTGGCGGGCGTCGTGGGCGTTGGAACACCCCCTAGCCAAACCACCGCCGCTGGAGCCGGCATGGGAACTCCTGCTGGACCTGCGACGCCGTTGGCGCCATGACTTAGTTCGGATACGCCGGGAGGTCCTCGCCGAGGTGCACCTTCTCATCGACGACCTCGAGGAAGACTCGCGAACTTGGATGGCGGCGTGCCCCTCGTGGGTCAGGGCCACCTACTCAACGCCGGATAAGCCGGCGCCTACACGGGTTCTCGCCTTCTTGGAATTACTACGCCGGCTGGGGTACCCAGACCTCACGGCGCTCACCGAGGACATGACCGACGGCTTCCAGATGCTCGGCGAGATTCGACCAGGCCCGGGCTGGAGACGCCGCGAAGACGGCAAGTATCAGAACCCGACCTCCGTCGCCGACCTGGTGGCGACCAACGCCGATTATGTGCGCAGGAAGGTACACACGGCGAAGGTCGGCGAGCACTCTGAAAAGCTCCTCCTCGAGCTCATCGCCGAGAAACGCCTGGGACGGGTCATCGGACCCACCAGACCGCCGGACTGGCTACACAACGTGAGAGAGACCACGGTCGCCGACCACCAGGACGTTGACACGATCAACGAGCCGCCCCCCGGCGACGCCTTTCTCGCCGCATCCTTCCCGGTTTGCCAGACCGACGAGAACGGCGAGCTCAAGGTGAGGAGAGCCGAAGACTGGCGCCGGTCTGGTCACAACTCCACGGTGACCGTCGCCGACGTGCCGACTCACCACTTTGTGGGCAGCTTCGTCGACTTGGCGCGGCGGATGGCGCAAGATCGACG